GCCGTGCTTCACAGGCTTGTAGGTGATGGAGAACTCGCCCAGGTAGTGGCCAATCATCTCCGGCTTGATCTCCACCTGGTTGAAGGTCTTGCCATTGTACACGCCCACCATGCTCCCCACCATCTCGGGCAGGATGATCATGTCCCGCAGGTGGGTCTTCACCACCTCGGGCTTCTCCATAGGCGGCGCCTCCTTCTTGGCCTTTCTCAGGCGCTTGAGCAGCGAGTGCTGCTTCTGCTGCAGGCCGCGGTTGAGGCGTCGCCTCTGCCTGGCGCTGTAGAGCTGCATCAGCTGCTCATAGGACATGTCCAGCAGCTGGTCCAGGTCCACGCCGCGGTAGGTGAACTTGCGAAAGGTCCGCTTCTTCTTCTGCTCCACTTCGGCCATCGTGGCGGCGACTCGGCTCTTTGGATTTTTTAAGACAGGGTTTCTCTGTGTAGCCCTGGCTATCCTAGGCCCGAGAGATCTACCTGCCTCTGCCCATCAAAGGTGTGTGCCACCAATCAATGGCTGTCTCCTCCTTGTTGCTTTTAAGATGGCTCCCCTCTGCACAGAAGTGTCACCCTAGCTGGCAGAGATGGGCTTCTCACTTTGCCTTTGAGCAAGGGAGTTCACCACATGGCTTTGGGATGTCCCTGAAGACCCCAGTAAGCAAACTCAGGCATCTCAAGGAGCCCATTTGTTGACCCCGAGCACAGAATCTTACGTGCCACCTTCTGTAGACGAGGCCAGGAAGGAAGCACCGTTTCTAAACTGGGCCTACAGCCACTCTGCAACTTGGGACCGGCTCTGTGCACCCATGGGAACCAAGCCGCACCCTGTTCCTTGATTAATTTTGCTTCCTTCCTCAACACCAGTGAATCCCACCTTTATTTAGAAGGGCTGCCTAACAGCCACTTGGGCCAATGGAGTCAGTCACACCCAAACCTCATATTCCCAAGAACAGATCAGAACTCAGCCAGGATCCCCAAAGGCTTGCTTCCCTGCTGACAACTGTTTCTTTGGGGTCCCAGCAGACCTCTACCGCGGCCAACCTGCCCATAGGCCATAAGGACAAAGGGCTGCTCTTCCTGCAATCAGTGGTTGCTATGGTGACAAAAGCAGCACAGGGTACCTGCAAATAAATGCTAAGGAACAGTCAGTACAAATCCAAACTCAACAGTCTTTCTTTATTATCCTGACCATGCAGGGTCACTTCTCTAAACAGCTGGATCTACTGAATCCAGGGTGAGGTATAAACTTAGTTGATTGTCTCTCAAAAAAGAACTGAAAAAAAAAAAATAGATGTACTTGCCCATCTTGTAAAAGACAATATCCTGCAGTGTTGCAGAAAAATATCTGCGTGAATTCAGTCCATAAAAACCAGGACCCTGGGGCTGGATCCCCAGCTCTATACACAAACCAGCATCCGGCCATCTGCTGTGGGGAACCCCAACTCCAGAGGCAGGAGAAGAACCACCCCCCCCATTTAAAACAAAAACAAACCTGTCCTCTGCTTTGCTCAACTTACCACTTGCTTAAGGCAAAAATCTAGACAAGCAGCAGGATGGGCAGCAGCCACTCCTGAGCCCAGGAAAACACACTCGCTCCCTTTGTAATTGGGAACAGTCTCAGTTTCTAGCCTCATTTCTTAAGCTCACAAAACGCCCTTTAAAGATCTAAGGGCCTTTAGAACATAGCCAGAACAGCTTGTAACCTCTAGTCTAAAGGCAAAAGTAGTAGGTGCCAAACTTTTAGCTGATCAAAAGGTACAAATCTCTCCCGCAAGCCAATATAGCCCAGAGGGCCGAGTATGTGACTGGACCATGAGAAGCCACCCTGACTAGCCCAGAGTTCCAACCTAGTGCCAGTCGGGGTCTGGTTGCTAAAGTTGTGGTTTCTGCAGCCTGGCTGGCATGTGACTGCTTTACAGAGATCTTTCCATTGTCCTCACACACAGAAACTTAACAGCAGGGACATTTTCAGTGACTTCTAAACTGGCCAATGCTTCAGTGGCAGTATCCCAGAGCCACTATTGGAGACAGGTGGCCCGCACTGCAGATCACAGCTCCTTCCAGTTGATGGGCCTCTTGCCAGACTTCTGGAGCAGTTCATTGGCTTTAGAAAAATGCCTACATCCAAAGAATCCCCTGTACACCGACAGTGGGGAGGGATGGGCTGTCTGCAGGACATGGTGACGCTTCTGAAAAAGAACAGAGTTGAGTGTAGCAGCAGACATATTGTCCCTCTAGACTGTGCATGCTCTGCCCCGCCCACCTTCTGCAGTGTGTTCAGCCCTAGCACTCACAAACTCGAGGCTCAGCTTTGCTGGGCTCAGAGGCATAGGGCAACATTTGCAACACTTACTACCCAGTTATTCCTGCTCTGACCACGGTCAGGTGACATTTGCTATGAAGCAGCAGGGATTCTAAGTTCAGCCACCCGTGCCCCCCAGGCAGCTGTGAGTTGCGTTAGTGCTGGAAACAGAACCTTGGTCCTCTATAACAGAGTAGTTAAGTGTGATTAAGTGCTGAGGCTCCATTTGAGACTGTCTAGCTCCTTAACACGGAGTGACTGTGTCCCCACCCTCAGGTTCAGTCTCCCTGCGGTTTGGATGCAGCTGCTCCCAGAGGCCCTAGTAAGCTTCCTCCAGTCTCCTCTCCCCACCTCTGCCCCACTGTCTACATCCACCTGCAGCCATGACTACAGAAATAGTGGCATCCAGCCCAGGAGGCAATGCGAAGCAATATTGGGACATTTTAGGGACAAAGGTGACTAGACTCACTGGTAAGACAGGATTTACTGGGAAGATGGGTAAGAGGGCTCAAGGAAGACGCTGCCTCAGGTTCTTGTCTCCGTGTCTTGGTGACAGGGAGAAGATGCAAGCGCTCTGATGCTGCTGGGCACTCACAAGCAGCGCCCCTGCTCAAGTGCTCACTGCCCAGGGCATTTGCGAGTACATCTGTCTGATTCAGTGAAAGGCCTGTTTTCTGTATGGCCCCAAGTTTCTCGGAAGCAGGACACTTGCCTTATTCATCAAGTACTGCATCACATGTAAACAGGGTGCCAGGGACCGTGGTGTCCTTATCACAGGGCAGGTTAATGCTTCTATTATATTACACCCCTAGCTGTCAGTGGGAACCCAATTCTAATTATAATGGATTTTACACACAGTGTATCACGGCTGTGCACTCAAGCAGGGACCCGAGGCTCCCTGGTTCTCTGTGAAGCAGCTGGAAGACACATACCCTATCAATGGCACTGCCCTTCTTCTGAGCATAGGAGCCCCAGAGCAGGAAGACAAGGCCAGTCAGGTTCTGGTTTAGCCAGGACACAACCGCATCAGTGAACTGCTCCCAGCCTCTCTCCTTATGGGAATTGGCCTGGTGGGCGCGGACAGTGAGGACAGCGTTGAGGAGGAGGACACCTGTGAAGAGGGTGGAGAGGGTTAGGGCCACACAAACGAGCTCTACAGAGGCTGCACCAACCAAGCCACTCACAACAGACCCAGGGAAGAAGTGAAATTGGGCCATAAAGAAAGTTACAACATGACCAGCAGTGACCTCTGAGCCAGATTCAGGACTCTTTGTTTCATATCTGCCCCCTTAGCACCTCCCAGTTTGGGGTAGTAAACAAAAAACAAAGTGTTCAGAAATTCATATGCTAAGTAATATTAAAGAACCAAAAAAGAAAATGGGCCCAAAATAGTTGATGGCAACAAAATCAAACTGTTAGGAGCCAAGAACAAACTGCCAAGAGCAAGTGTGCTGGAACTAAAACTACAATGGTTAAGAATGGCTGAGGAGGGGCTGCAGAGATGGCTCAGTGGTTAAGAGCAATGACTGCTCTTCCAGAGGACCAGGGTTCAAGTCCCAGCATCCACATGGCAGCTCACAACTGTCTGTTAATTCTAGTTCCAAGGAACCTGACATCCATGGCAAAACACCAATGCACATCGAAAAAGCAGAAGAAAAAGAGTAGCTATGGACAACATAGGGGTAAAAAGGCTCCAGGATCTTCAGAGTCCTTATTACAGGATAGGTAACTTTTGAAAATACAGCAACGGGAATGGAGACAACTTAGCAGTTAAGAGCATACCAACCCTCACAGAGGACTCGAATTTAACCCCATGTTGGGCAGCTTACAACTGCCTCTAACTCCAGCTCCAGGGAACACAGTGCCTCTGCCTTCCACCAACATTAGCACTCAAGCACACACACCTACACACACCAACACACCCAGGCATCCAGGGACGGAGGGATGGACAAGAAGCACAAGAGCAGGCTACTGGCACTGGTCCCAAATAAGCCTAGCTAGGCTTGGTTACCTTGTCTGGCCCACCCCGACAAATCCCCATGGCCAGGATGAACAAAACCATCGATGTCTGTAGACAGCTCTTTAAAAATGTTTTCCAAACTGAAACCAAGGCAGAGAAAAGCACAATCAACCAGAATCCCCAACAGTTTGTAAATACAAATCTCCACAGTGGGCACGAAAAGGTTATAAACAAAAAGCCAGGATGGCATGGGAAGAGACAGGCACCCACAACCCTGACTAGCACCTACTACAGACCTCCACCATGGTCTGCACTCAGACTGGAAGTCAGAATGCACCGTGGAAGAACTGAGTAGGGCAGTCACAATCCACCGTCTAGTTCTCGGTATATGCACCCTCCGCCAGCAGTGCCAATCCTCAATGGCCCAGCCATCCCAACCATACCGCCTATGGCCTGACTGATGCCAGCTGCACCACGGTGTACCTGGGTGGAGGTGGAACTGGTCTTTGCACACTGAAGCAGAGCCCGTGAGCTTGATTAGGGCCGTGATAAGGATCCTGTCCCAGAATGACAACCTTCACCTGTAAACGCAAGTATCAGACAATACCAGGTTCAGTTAAGAGCAACACATGGTGGACACACAGGACCACAAAGAACAGTGGAGCCCCACTAAAGGACCAACTGAGGACCCCTAAAGGAACAGCCCACCACATGCTTGCTAGCAGCCCCATTAACACCCCACCCTTCACTCAGTGGCCTCGATGTAATGGCCCACTTAGGTTTCTCTTCACTTCTCACACGACAAAACTTGGTAACGCATGGAACCACTCAGAAAACATACGGAGGAGGGACCATCCTAGCCCATCACACGTTAGCACCGCGTAGGGGTAGGGGGAGGTGGTCACTACAAGCTAAGCACTTCTCAGTACCCATGGAAGTCCCTGTAGCACACGGACCACCACCTTTGTGGATGACCATGTTAAAAGGCCAGACAGCTACCTACTGTGCTGGCTTTCCCAGGCAGTCAGCCTGCTCTCCTTATGGGAAAACACTGCTGGGCTGGGCAAAGGAAGAGCCAACCTGAGCTTCACAGACCGGCACCTAGATCCCTCCCAACAGCCGATGCCCGCAGGACTGAATGGGCAACACGCTGAGAACGAGGCCAGA